CTGAAAGGCTGCTTTCCACCAGCTTGTTCCAGGATGAAGACAAACTACAATGAAGGGTGCAAACATGCATTCTGGCTTGTAATCACACTGTTTGTCCTGCTGATGAGTCAATATGCAACATTAATTTGATCGATGGGAATGATTCCTGTGTCCGTTTCTTGCCTCCTACTGGGAAATATAATCTTTCAAAATGGATGGCATGCAGTCCTGGCCATCTTTGTTTTAAGCCGCTAACCCTGGCTTGTTTGCTTATGACGAGCATGGATGACAAGAAGCCAACAAACACTGTATACCCGATTTGCTGACGAGACTCATTGAAGAGGACCCACAAGGCAAACTTCACCAGCTTGCGAACATCCTCTTCTTTTAGACTTGACTCATTTTGATCCATGTCTCCTCTTGGTGTGGATTGCCCCCTGCTTTGTGGGGAAGTGACATCTTCCACCTTGCGTGTCTGCTTCAAAGCTGCTAAAGCACTAGTTGCCGTACTTGCCCATCCCAGGTGGCGAAGAGTTGGCATGGCTTTTGGAAAGGTGAAGTCCTTGGGACTCTGATCCTGTGATGCATCGGCTTTGAATGTCGTCTCCTCGGAAAGGAAGGACAAAACACACAATACGAGAATCACTCACATTGACACTTGGGTTGGGGAGGTCCGAGACAGAAAGAAACAAGAAGAAAATGTTTTATGCAAACCCTAGTCTACCCATGACAGAGTGTCGCGCTTCAGTCTCACCACAGTCAGCCGCGATCGCATGGCGGCGGACAAATCGCTGCTGAGCGGTGTTCGCACCGTCGCCAAGATCTGAAATTGGCTGTGGGCCGCGAGCCTTTCTGAGTTGGCCGTGGTGACCTGCGGCATGCAGCGCATGCGAGTGACAAATCGCTGCTGAGCACAACAGTTAGACAAATTTGGCCGGTGCTCACTTTGTGAAACGGGTCAGAAAACGGAGTTGTGAAACGGAACCCTCGGGGGAACGAACGTACGTGCGTACAATCCTGTTGGAAGAAAATGAAACAAGATGGAGCCCACGAACCCGAATGCAAACACGATCGAAAAACTAATATGTCCAAAGGACACTTTTGTAGGACACTCTTGCGGGACACTCTGTAGGACACTCTTGTAGCACACTCTTGTGGGTCACTCTTGTAGGAAACTCTTGTGGGACACTCTTGTAGGACACTCTTGTGGGACACTCTTGTGAGACACTCTTGTAGGACACTCTTGTGGGACACTCTTGTGAGACACTCTTGTAGAACACTCTTGTGGGTCACTTGCAGGACACTCTTGTGGGACACTCTTACACGACACTCTTGTAGGACACTCTTGTGGGACACTCTTGTAGGACACTCTTGTAGGACACTCTTGTCGGAAACTCTTGTGGGACACTCTTGTGGGACACTCTTGTGGGACACTCTTAAGGGACAATCTTGAGGGACACTCTTGTGAGACACTCTTGAGCGACACTGTTGCGGGACACTCTTGTGGGACACTCTTGTGGCACACTCTTGTGGGACACTCTTGTAGAACACTCTTGTGGGACAGTCTTGTAGGACACTCTTGTGGGACACTCTTGTGGGACACTCTTGTGGGACACTCTTGTGGGACACTCTTGTAGGACACTCTTGTAGGACACTCTTGTGGGACACTCTTGTGGGACACTCTTGTGTGACACTCTTGTAGGAAACTCTTGTGGGACACTTTTGTGGGACACTCTTGTGGGACACTCTTATAGGACACTCTTGTAGGACACTCTTGTGGGTCACTCTTGTAGGAGACTCTTGTGGGACACTCTTGTGGGACACTCTGTGGGACACTCTTGTGGGACACTCTTGTAGGATACTCTTGTGGGACAGTCTTGTAGGACACTCTTGTGGGACACTCTTGTGGGACACTCTTGTAGGACACTCTTGTGGGATACTCCTGTAGGACACTCTGAAGGGACACTCTTGTGAGACACTCTAGTGGGACACTGTTGCGGGACACTCTTGTGGGACTCTCTTCCAGCTCCCCAGATACTCCGCGTACTAAAGTTGTACTACACGGTCGCCAGTTCTCAGCTTCCAGCTCCACAGATTGCTCCGCGTACTCAAGTTGTACTACAAAGTCGCCAGTTCTCAGCTTCCAGCTCCACAGATTGCTCCGCGTACTAAAGTTGCACTACCAAGTCACCAGTTCTCATCTTCCAGCTCCCCAGATACCCCGCGTACTAAAGTTGTACTACAAAGTCGCCGGCGCTCGCCTGCATTTCGCGCGCTCGACACGCACGATCTCCGCAGAGGGTTGCGCGGGCACCGGACAAATCGCACTCTCGCCTGCATTTCGCACACTCGACACGCACGATCTCCGCAAAGGGTTGCGCGCGCATGGGACAAATCGCACTCTCGCCTGCATTTCGCACACTCGACACGCACGATCTCCGCAGAGGGTTGCGCGTCAAGTCTCCAAAACGAGCGTTTCGTACGAGACTTCCTCAAAAACTCACACGTCAAAGTCTGCAAAACGAGCGTTTCGTACCAGACTTCCTCCAAAAGTCAAGCGGAAACACCCATCGGAGCACACACATCACGCAGCCCTGCCAAGCAGTTTCGCGATTCCAGCCCCTCCAAACAACATCCGCTCACACGCCAATCCCAATGGGACAGCGACATTCACCTCTACCACAACTCACAACCTCACAATTCCCTGCGCCTGCCACGAATCTTTCCCCATCCACACGTCTAACGCGCACAAAGTACTGCGCCTGCCACGAAATGTCACCTCCCTCACACCTCGCAACCTCACGATTCCCTGCGCCTGCCACGAGAATCGCACTTCCACGCTTCAAAGCCCGCACGAAGTCCTGCGCCTGCCACGAAAAGTGACAATATCATCGCATGTGAGCTTCAACAAAATTTGCACCACACCACACGTTTGGAATGATTTCGACCCGTTCAGAGCACACTCCCATCCACCAAAATCGCCATTTCAGCTGAGACTTGTCACGAAAACAGAGCTTCGATGCCACACCCTGAAACGCAAATCCCAATGGCACGGCCACATCCAACACCCCAAAAACACGACTCTCCAAACGCTAATCCCAATGGCACTGCGCAGCAAACTGCGGATCTCACAAAACGCTGCGCCTGTGCAGCGAAATGCATCACGTTTCTTGCGCGACATGTCGTTGTCATGCCAATCACAATGGAATTGCGGCGCAAACTGACACGTGACACATGCATGAAAAGTCACTTGCAAAAGCTTCCCCCAATGGCAGCAAATTTGAGACGCGACGACGACGACACGACGACGACAAACGACGACAAACGACGACACGACGCAAGCCATGCAAACACAGCTCCAACCCCCAGACCCCCAACTATAAACGGGAACCCTTCGCTACGCATTCGGGAAAAAATCACAGTCACTACTGTCTACCATATACCAGGAAACAGGTTCGCGTCTTGAAGGTCCTTGAGAGCTTGGTCCTTGGGCGAAATCCCCTCAATCGAGCGTGTGATGTTTGTCCCTCGGCCTTCCGAGAAGCAAAGAGCTGATTGAGATGCTCAAGCACTGCCGCATCCACCTCATTGAGGTTCTTCAGCAGCAGGATCTTTCCCACACGGAAGGGAATCATGAGCCCACGTTCCACGAGGGGAAAGAGCTGCCCCTTCTCTTTTTCGCCGCTCGTGTCGCAGGGCTCGAGCTCCTTGAAGACATGTTTTGAATAACTATCGATGAGCAGCGCATCGCCTTGGACATCAAAGAGGGGCGCCGGAACAACTTTAGTGGAGACACCAAGTTCTGGCTCTGGACGGCGATTAATTTGTTTAATCTTGGTTGGCTCTGGACGGCTATAGTCCTTCCATTTTGGAGGGATGTCGATTGTCTTGTGTTTCTAATTAGACATGGCGTTCAAGTCACTCTTCTCAATGCCCTCGGTCGGATTTCGATTCAACGAACGCTTGATCTCAGCCATGGAAGCAGTGTCAGCTGGAGGATCTGCATCAACCTGTTTCATCCAAGCAAGGGCATGCTTTTGGTACGTCTCTGAATTGTGGGGTTCGATCCCGCCGAAGAAATCCTGTAAGGAAGTCCCTGCAGAGCACCGAAGTGTGATGAGAGAATCAGGACCACGAAGCATGTAGGAGAGCAATTCCTTAGAAAGAGATAGACAGAATGCTAAAAATCCCTTTCAGCCTGATGGTTAAACACCGAAGAGAATTAGTCCGAGAGGAAGTCTGTGGACTTTGCAAGAAGAACATGGAGAGTAAATTTTGAAAACGCATTCTTAGTTGGATGTATTTGCGAGTGGTTGTTTATGACGAAAGCTGGAGTTCCAATCTTCTGTATGAGGCGGCGCCCAAAAAAAATGTAGAGACTTGGACCTGGCAAGAACATTGCACTAACCTGAGGAGGGAGGGGACGAAAGCCAGCCTCTGTAAGAACACATCAATGTGGTCATGGGGTGAAGTTGACAGCGCACTTCAACTGCTGTCAGGCATGGAGGGCCGATATGATTTACACAAGGTCTGATCAAGGCCCATTCACTGTTAGCGGTTATAGGATAGAAGTGGAGCCCATGCGTTAGGAGAAAGGTTGAATTGAGGAGGACATTGCAGTCCGGCAGGACAAAGCTTGAATTGAGCAAGACATTCACAGGTCGAGGGGGGCACCCTTTTTCTTTGGGTTCGGGGGCGTTTTCAAGCTGAAAATAGGGCACCCCTATGTAACTGACGTACCTGCACTCATAAACTGGGTGTGCTCCTAAGAGTGAACCGCTGAAAGTTTACTGCCGAGATCGCGCGATTGTATAGCATCGCGTGCTGTTATGGGGCGAAGTCGACATTGCACTAACCTCTACTGCTGTTAGGCACGGGGAAACAGAAGGCAGAGAGGCGCAGCATCTCGCATTGAAGCTTGATATGACAGAGCCAATGTACACAACGCCTGGATCAACTCCCATCCGTCGTTACCTGCATGTCATAGGATAGACTTCGACCGACTCCCTTGGACATCTATAGCTTGGAGCACTGCCCTTTTCTTCCGGTGAACAGCCCTTTTCACAATAAATCAGTGCACCCCCAAGCAACTCAAAGGTTCCTCCTGACTGCATTCTGGTCACTCTCCAGGCATATCAAGACGCAGTTGTAAAGATTAAGCCCGCAAATGTCCTCTTGAGTTGTCGATATTATCTCTATGAGAAAAAGACTCTAACTCTGCAGAGTCTTGCTGCTTCTGTCCTCTACCTCAATGGAACACACCTGATTAGCCTGGTCAACTCCCTCAGTGTGGGGTGACATCGTTCCTTGCGTTTCCTTCTACTCTCATTAGCCACGGGAAAAAAGAAGGCTGAGAGGTGCAGCGTCTCGCATTGAGGCTTGATATGACAGAGCCAATGTACACAACACCTGGATCAACTCCCACCCACTGTTACGGGGCATAGGATAGACTTCGATCCGTACATAAGTCCGACTTTCTTGGACGTCTATAGCTCTGAGGGGTGCCCTTTTGCATCCAGTTGCCAGCCCTCTTCACCATAAAAAGGGACATTCCCTCAAAGGTTGCTGACTGCATTCTGTTCCCTCTCCAGTCCTCTGCGGGTGACATCGTTTCTTGCGTTCCCTGCCACTCTTATTAGCCACAGGGAAACAAAGGGCTGAGAGACGCACATCTCACTTTCCTGGTGGGTTTCTGACCTCTTTTCCTGTCACGTTGTCCCCCCTGTCCGGTCCTCGGCATGAACTCCCACCCCTTGTCGAAAGACTGTGCCCTTCACGATGCAGCTGATGCACTATTCGGCGTCAATTACATCGCTCGCATCACAACACCCCAGAAACCATACATTTTCACTACCTTTTGCACCGCCTCTTTTTCCCCACCTGTCAGGTCAGGATTGTTAGATTTTACGTCAGCCCCATCTCCTCCTCCGGACCTCAACCCCGACCATCCGTGCCCAGGGTTCCCTGCCGGACCTCAACCGCGAGCTCCAGGCCCAAGTGTTCTCTGCCGGACCTCAACCACAGCACACAACCACAACCACAAACACACAACCACAAACACAACCACCCAACCACAAACACAATCACAAACACAACCACAAACACACAATCGCAAACACACAACCACCAACACAATCACAAACACGCAGCCACAAACACAATCACAAACACAAAACCACAAGCACAACCACAAACACAATCACAAACGCAACCACAAACACACAACCACAAACAATCACAAACAATCACAAACACAACCACTGCCACAACGACAAAGACTACTACTGCTACTACTACTACTACCACTACCACTACCACTACTACTACTACTACTACGACTACTACTACTACTACTACTACTACTACTATTATACTACTACTACTACTACTACTACTACTACTACTACTATTACTACTGCTATACTACTACTATACTACTACTATACTACTACTATACTACTACTATACTACTACTACTACTACTACTCCTACTCCTACTCCTACTGCTACTGCTACTGCTACTGCTACTGCTGCTGCTACTACTACTACTTCTACTACTACGACTACCACTTCTACTTCTACTTCTACTACTACTACTACTGCTACTACAACCACTACTAGTACCACTAATACTCCTACTAGGGCCCTGGAAGTTTCCAAGGTTCGCCCGAAGGTCGGGCCCCGAACTGCGCGCTGCTACTTCTACCGCACTACTACTACTACTACTACCACTACTACTACTACTACTACTGCTACTGCTACTGCTACTGCTACTGCTACTGCTACTGCTACTACTACTACTACTACTACTGCTCGGGCCCCGGAAGCTTCCCAGTTTTGGGCCGCCCAGTACGACTACTACTACTGACTACTACTACCAGTTCTACTACCTACCACTACTACTACTACTACTACTACTACTACTACTACTACTAGTGCTGCTGCTGCTGCTGCTACTACTACTACTACTACTAGTACTACTACCACCATCACCACCACCACTGCTACTGAATAAATGAGTGAATGAATGAATGAATGAGTGAGTGAGTGAATGAATGAATGAATGAATGAACCACTAGGCTCTGGGTTCGCCCTACCTTGCCAGGCCGGCCACGTCACCCCGCCCCCCCCAACACCCCCGTACTCACTTCGTTCGCCCATCGACAACTCCAGCCTAGCCTATCGCCTGCCTTTCGCGAATACTAATATTGATTCCTGTAGTCTTCTGTGTTTTCTGGCCTAAGAGGGAGGCGAATGTCTGATCATTTCTGGCCTAAGTTTCCACGATTGTGGATTTTCCTGAGGATCCTGGGCCTTCCAGAAGCACTGGCTCTTGGTACTTCAATGCAAACGCCGCAGCGCAAAGGCCTTTCACCACCTGCAGCCATGGTTTTCATGAATTTGAAGGATGCCGCATGCATGTGCCTGAGTCATCAGTTTTCAACACTTTATTGGAGAAAAACTGTAAAGAAGGCTGGTCGTCAAAAGCTCCATACAAAGTCTTAAAGATCCCCACCTCTTTCCCCATGCCCATGACCATCTCACAAACCAGATCTGCTGTCTTCTTCACTCCGTTTGGAACGTCGTGAAGCACGGAGATCCAAGCAGGTTCATCTGGAGTCTCATCTAGAGGCTCATCTGGAGCATCTGGCGTCTCATCCGAAGTCTTCTTCAACTCCCCAAAATAGAACTCCCATGAAATTGTATCAGTTCGGATCCCAAATTTCATCCTCTGCAGTTGCTCTTGCGTCAAAAGAGATGAACAATTCACCAGCATATCCGCATCGGTCGATGTCATCTGTGACGCATCTATTTCTGCATCCTTGGGCCTCTGTACTGCTCCCAACAGCACGTACGCGTGCATCGAGAAATTCCTTAGCGCTCGGCGCTCGAGGAGAGAAGGATGAAACCTTGCACTGAAGCTCTTTCGTGTGGCAACAGAGAACCCTCCGACCATCCCCTACGGCTGCACATCGTTCACTATGTCGAACCTACAAACTGCACAACTTTCACAAGGATAGATGCGGTGTCAAGAACATGCCCCACTGCGTAACAGACTATCATAGACTATCCAAGATTCTTTTCAGGGTCCGCATCGGCACAGACCCGCACGAAGAGCTTGCCTTGGCTGCGACTTGGGGCTCTGCTTTCCCGAATGCGTAGAGAAGGAGTCTCCTTGAAACATTGCAACCGTTTGAATGGCGTTCTTCGAAGCGGTGCTTTTTCGTGAGAAAGTCTCTGCTAATAAATTGCAATGTCGAGCGCCAAGGGTCGAAAATCATTGCAAACGTGACGGGCGGTGGCAGGCGAAGTACTTTGGCTGTTGCAGAGAGCATATTATTGACTGTGCTCCGTTTGGTGCAGGTGAATGTCGCTGTTAGCGATTGGCGTCTCAGCGGACTGTCTTTCGAGGTGCTTGGATTGCGAAACTGCTCAGCAGGGCTGCAATGCGCGCGCTATGACAACTGGAAGTCTTGGACGAGACACCTGTTTTTGGACACTTCTCGGTCACACTTTTGGAGGTTTTTGCACACTTCTCGCGTGACTTTTGGACAAAGGGTCTTATGAAGTGCCTCTTGCAGACTTCTTGCCTTGAGGGAAAAGCTGCAAAACGCTAGGAAAAGCTTGCTTTGAAGACTTTCCGCTTGACTTTTTGGAGTGTCCGGCAAGCTTGTAAAAGTGTTTTAAGGGAGTGCAAAAGCATCCCACAAGACTTTCAAGCAAGCGCGTCCCACAAGTGTGTCCCAGAGTCCAAGACTGTCAAGTCATACAAAAGTCTCAAGAAAGTGTTCCACAAGATCACAAGAGTGTCAAGCAAGAGTATCCTACAAGAGTGAAACGCATGAGTCCTACACGAGTCTCAAGCAGGCTGTGGGCTCACATCGTGTTCTTTTGTTCTTCGGGTCGCGTCGGTTAGCAACACCCCCTGCAAATTACTGCTACGAGAGAGAGAGAGAGACAGCTTGTCCGTCACGAAGGGTCGGGTGATGAAAAAGTGCAAAATCAACAAAAACAAACAAAAAAACGCCTCGAGGGAAGATCGTAAACAGCACATCGAATCCTGAATGGCAAGTAACTATTTAATCGCAAAGAACCTATCGCAGTTTTTCTGGCATTGCCCTTGTCTTCCCTGCCATGTGGCTCATCTCGCGCAAGGTCCAGGCTTTCGTGCTGGCCTTGAAGACTTCAGCACAGAGGCTGGCGACTTTCTCGCGGAAGCGTTGAGTCACGGTCCGCATGGGGATGGCAAACCTTACAGAAACCAAAGTTCTGCAGAATTGAGATTTCAGTGTTTTCGCATTATCTGTGCACTCAATTCCTGGTCACATAGGGCCGGGCCCAAGGGTTTCAAAAGAATCAGTTCAAGCACGAACAAAGACAAACATGAGATAATGAAACAAAGACCAAGCAACCCGTGTTTTTTCAGGTAAGCGGTGTGTTCTTTCGCTGCCAGTCGCTTTAGGATTGACTCCACTTGCTGATTTTCATACTCCGGCACATCAATGATCATTGACCGCATGGTGATGTGCGTTGGCAAAACATTTCGTCCCAGCAAAGCCGCCGAGTTCTGAGTGGCGAAGAAGTGAAACATCGGATCCAGCCTGACACTTTGAAAGCGGAGAAGGCCCAAAACCACGAAAAATCAAAGTTCATGAGAACGTAACAGGAGACCCTGACACGTATCATTCGCCTAAATCAATTCATCTTCAGCTGAATGGTCAACCTCAAAACCCCGGACTCGAACATATGAACTGATTCAGAAAAGGACTGGAACCTTTCCATGCCAAAGAAGGCCCCTGGATTCGCACTTCTCTTGGCCCCACTCCGGCCTTGCTTTGGCCTTGTTTACCTCATTGAAAGCAAAGATCAAAAATGAATGAGCAAATGGGTTCATAAAACAGCATAAAAAATGTCAGTGTCGTGAAACATGCTGAGAACTGAAGCCTCGCCTTATGGGACAGACTCCCTCAACACTGAGAAAACACGGGAAAATCAAAGGTGTAAATACTTTTTGAAGGATTGCCATGATGTTTGGATCCGCTTGGCTTTGTTTCTCACCACCAATATGCTCGATTGGTGAGTCACTGGGTTCTGGATCTCTTCCTCCATATCAAAGACTTCTTGCAAGGCCATCAGGACTTCAGGAGAGACCAGGTTCAGTTCGTCGGCAATCAGGACTCCTCCCATGTTTGCGTGATGGGGTGTTCAGCCAAACGGCCAAAAATGGTTTCTTCGCAAAAAAAAGAACCAGGCATGTTTCTCGTTACCCACATTGTCTCTCTCTTTCGGTGTGTTTGTTCTTTGATCTCTCTAAGGCCAGGCGTCGTGGACACCCTGCTCATGAAACGGAAGCAAATGCAACGGCATGCGGAAACATGCGCGCAGAAAAGATTCCGTCCAATGACTTCAACCACTTTGGGCCACGCTTAAAAGACCAAGTTTTGCCGTTTTCCGCCAACGATTTTTTGCACTCCCCCTTAAGGCGGCGCCAATGCCGGACTGAGCTACTACATTCATGCTGAGAGGTTCAACTCCTTGTTCCGGGCAAAAAGACACAAACGCAGGCATCAGACAACAAACACGTAGCTTGAACGCGCAGCGGCGATTCAGGCGCTTTCTTTTTCACACCTTGATCTTTTGAAGGCTTCGGGCGGAGGTCAATCTCGACGCGCACATGCCGCATGCCCAACTAAGTTTCTCACAACACCACATGGCGGAAAAGGCGCGCAACATTTCTAATTTATAGCTACTTTGAACATTCTCAATTCACAGGCTCCACCCTGGAGTTTCTCCAGACAGGTTGGACACGTTCAATGTCGAGCCTTTCCAATGACGCGCCACTGTGGACTGCTTGTTTTCATATGCTCCGTCCTTCTTGGCGACACCCCGCCGCAATCTTCCGCTCACCATTCATGAAGAACATCAGATTTCGATTTCGAACCTGAACTTCTTACCTGACTCCCTCAACTTCTGCTGCCAACATAGCATTCTGTCTCATCACCATTCACCCGCTCAACGCGCCCTCCCTCTCCACAAGCTCCAGACCAGGGGCCAAGTCCCACCACTCCTTTCAAGAGGCGGCAGAGCCCTGGTTCCAGGGCAAGAAGCGTCATCGGGCAAAGTGGTCACTCATGCCCCCAACGCCGCCTCGACCTGTCTCCGCTCACTCCAGAACGGATTCACTTCATCCAGCCTTGCTGGCGACATCACAACTACAACTGGCGCACCTGTCACACACACGGCTCCTTTTCTCCATCAGGCACAGAAAGCCATTATTGGGCACATAACCCTCAAGAATGCGGGAACGGTTTTCGTTTGAAAGGGAAGGCCACACCTTCACACCACTGGCATTCCCTGTGGTTGACTCGTGCGTGATCACGTGTCAAAGGAAACTTGCCGCAGGGCGCAAAGGATCACTGACAGCTGCAAGGAACCCAGCTGGACTGGTATCATTATTGGAACCTGGTGCACCCGGTCCTTATCTATCCCCTCCTTGTCCTTTGGGATACCAAGCTGGCTCGAGCTATTTCCACAATCTGAGGTTTCTCCATAATTCATCTATCGTCCATGCTTTTCTGGCTCCTTTCTAGGAATCTCCTTTGGAGCGAAGTGTAGCCATGGCTTTCAGAATTTACTCTCCATCTCCAGCACCACTGGGTTTCATCATTGGGGTCAACTGACGGCTTTGTGGTGCAGATGATCTCAGTAAACGCTTTTGGGAGCTCGTTCAGTGTGCTGTTGCACGAGTTGTCCTCAATGAGCAATCGAGTCCATAGATGTTAAAACGCTTCAATGACCTTGCAAAAGGTCGGCCCAGTTAACCAGCATCAATGACACAAGGTCTGTAGAACCTGGAGTGAGTTTGTTGAGCTGAACCCTCTCAAGGGAGGCATTGGCTGCTCCTGTCATGATGTAAGGCCGCGAGGCTGTCTTGAAGCACTGCACAGTGCCCCTCGTTCAATAATGCCTTTGCCACCTCCATCTCTACTTCTCAGTGCAAGTCCTCTCTTCTCTTCTTCTAGCTCTGTGATGTCACGCCAACCAATGATAGCATCCTCATAGGAAAACGAGGGTTGCCTTCCATTCTATACAAAGTTGGTGTCCTTTGTCGTCACTCTTCTCGCATCTATTGACAGCACAAGGCTTTCAGGGCTAAGTCATCAGCCACATCCCACTCATCAATCCACTCCATGGCTCACAAGCGAAGAATGGATAACAACTCCACTGAAAGACTGAAAGAGGGGCGGTTGCGTAAGCGCTGTGGATGCGCTGGCCAACCGTGTCTTCACGCTTAGCGGTATGTCACTTGAATGTTTGAAAGGCCGGTGTCGCATCCAAAAATGAACAATGTCCAAACCAAAACATCCCCCACACCCCACTGCCCCGCTAGCACCTCCATCCCGCACGGCTCGCCACAAAGGTCCCTCTTGAAAGATGCAATGTCCGCTGCTGCCGCCCTTGATTATGAAGTTGCCAAAGAAATCTTCCACTGACATAGAAGCAGAACCTTATGAAGCACCGTGAAAGGTGGGGTTTGGTCTGATGCACTTTTGGAAATCATCAAAACCTCGAAACTATCATTTTGAAAACACAACTTGGTTCTTGTGGCTCTGAGAAACATGGAAGAAGAACGACCCGATGCTTCGGCGCCAGTTTCTGAGGCTCCTCAAATCCAAGCGAATCTGTCTGCCTTACATGAGAATCAGTCTCAGCGTCGGCAGCCTCAGACTCAGAATCGCTGGTGCCTTTCCCGGGCGCCTCCAGCGAATTCTCGGTGTGTGCGAGTGCCTCCAGCAGCGTTTCTAGGCCCAGGGTCTTTCCTGTTGATGGCTTGCCTTGTAGAATCACTGGCATTCGCATGATGATTGCGGTGGACAGAAGGTGAAAAATCTGCTCCCACTTCGTCTTCCTGGCTGAGTGTGTCACTGTGGCCAGCACAAAGCAGTCTTTTGGTGCATCTTGAGCCTCTACCCAATTCTTTCTGCAATGGAAGCGGCCAGAATAGAGTCTACAGTCTAAAGTGGCGCTGCTCCAACCAACATGGACACTCTACACATCCGGGGACTTTGGGAAGGTCAGTTCCTCTGCGTAGTTTTCTGAGTATCATGTAGTATTTATTTTTGTAGAGACGACCAAAGCAGGCAAAACGTTGTTGTCTTTCTGAGACTCTTTGACACAAACTTTCGGTATGTTCTATCCAAGACGTTCTGTGAGAAATCAATGGGCGTCTTGAACTGGTCGGACAAAATGTCGCTCTTTGAAGTGCCCATTCGATGAGATTGCAACCTGGGATCAGCATGTCATGTAAGCTGAGCGTGTCATTAGAAGAGATGGAAGGTTATCTCAAAAAAAACGGAATTCTGCTTCCGACGGGTAGCTCCACTAAGAAATCCCAGGATTCTCTAGCAAAGTTGTTGTCATCACTGACACGTGATTTGAAGCCACTGATGCGCGATTCGAAGCACTGGTGCTTGGGATCTTCATGTTGTTGTTTGCACCATTCTTTCCACCATTTACCCATTCTCTGATAGAAGACCAGCATTTGCGACAAATAGCCAAAGTGAACTGGCAGATCTGACTCTGCCTGCCTCTCTGGGATCTCAAGCTTGACATCTGTAGCTTGAGCCGGGCAAAGAGTCGGAATCCACTTCGTGAGCATAAACTGTGTGTCATCTTGACCCAACTCTGGTGTGACGCTGATTCGCAGGAAGCGGCTCAGAAATGCCGGTGACAGCCGCGCTTCCTTGGGAAAGACGAGATGAGGGGGGTGCAATCCACTGAAGTCACAAACAAGGCAAGGTCACAAAGAGTTGAAACAAATTTGGATTGAAGGTTTAGTCGGAGTGATCACCGCAAAGTTTAACGTGATGCATCTCAAGCTTTGATCCACATCACCAATCTGCACACAAACATAGCCCAAAAGGCAAATGTCAAATGTTCATTCTACTCCTCCTACATGTCATAATCATCTAGAATCTAGAAATCATTCCCTTTTCTTTCTTCCCCCTCCGTCCAGTCAAGAGTGCAATCACGAAACAAGTGGAAGCTCAATGAGCTTGGTTTTTCCCCGCGTCAGCCAGAAGGCCCTTGCGCCAAGATACTCCGCGGTCCATCTTGGTCATCGTGGCGATCACACAGAAGCCCTCACGCACTTCGCATGGTCGGCCAGCCAGCTTCAGTTGATCGCCTGGTAACGACAAGACGTGAAATATGCAAGTTCCACCCATGCTGCTCACGAATTCCAAACAAATGTATCAGCAAGCATCTGCAGCCAGTGGCCCGTTCGGATTTTACGAACATACATTCTCGGCGTCAACAGTCAACGGTGAGAATGTATGGCAGGTTGGGGGGCATGCCTTCATTTTAGCATTGTCTTGTAATCTCATCTTACTTAGCTGCTGGGGAGCATGTGATTGGCTCTAACCACTTTGAGCCTCCTGCATCCGCCGAGTGTGGCAGGTGCAGCACATGTAATTCTTGGGTGAAGATTGCCCAGTGAAAGCATCGTGAAGAAATGATTTCCCATGCGTTCTGAATTGTATTTTCAAATGAATAATGAAGAAATGAAACACCCTTCCAACTCGCTTGTGATGATTTCCATGACTCTGTAAGAAAGATTCTCACCGACCCCTCTCCTGGCTTGGCACAAAGGATGCTGTTGAGGGATTCCAGAACGCCGGGCGACGGCAAATGCACGCCCTTCAGGTGCAGGAGACATCCCTCACGCGCGGCTTGGCGCACTGGACCATCGCTCCATACGAAGGCGTTTCCGGCCAACGCGTCTCCGGCCTTTTGACTCTTTTGAGCCGATTCGTTGGGAAGCATGTGACCGAACAAGTCCTGCTCGGTGGTGTAGGGATGCAAGACGGCTTGAATGACCTTGGTCTTCGTCCTCTCAGACCACTTCTTCACCAGCACGGTCTTGCCGGACATGTGCGGGCCTTCAATCAAAGCTGCACGGCCAGTAGGTTTGCACCATCTCAAGCTTTCCATGGCCTCTTCGATCTTTTGGGGCAGACGCTGGGTGTCCTTGTCCTGACGTGAAAGCGGCAAATAATCAGGGTGCAAGCGCTGGGTATCATGTGATAATGGTGTCAGATGCTGGGTATCAGGTGCAAGCGCTTTCCCAGACGCTGGGTATCCTTATCACGAGTGCATCATCATGGCAAATAATCAGGGAAGAAAAACATGTGGATCGTGCATCTGCTGTCGGTTACTGCATCTGTTGTCTGTGCATGTCTGCGTTCTATCCTCTTAAACGGTTGTACCATTCTTGGACATCTTCCTGCGCTGAACAGCACCCAAAATCAAGGACCAAAAAGCATCCAACCAAGAAGTTTCTTAGAAACTAACCCACAGTCCATACTTTGATGTATGGCTTCTGAAACTCACACCAAACCCTGAACCCTGTGTATAACTTCAAGAAAGTTCTCCCTCCGTCCTTCTGCCAAGGTCTCTCATCGGGCTGCAAGTTCTCATTCAAGTCTTTCAACTTCTTCTCCATGAGCTGCTTGGCATAAAGCTGCGTAACAGTACCTTGCTCAGTGCCAAGCTGCTCAGTACCAAGCCCATCAACATCAAGCTGCTGGGTCTCAAACTGATTGGTGTCTTCAAGGCCTTGCACCAAGACCTCAGCCAGTTTGGTGCCAAACTGCAACGCGCACCGTTTCAGGACAAACAGTATTCCTTGAGCTGCGGTCTACCTCACAACCAGAACCTGGAACACTCCGACCCTGGCTAGGCAAGTGGACTTTTTGGGAAGACAGAACAGCCTGGACTTGAAACGGAAGTGACAGAGAGACGAATTCCTTGCGTCTCTAACTTCGTTGGGTGTTGGTATCTCCAGACCAGGTCAGAAGAGGAAAACGTGCCAAGGAAGAGGAAGAAGAAGTGTCTCGTAGAATCCAGCAGCTCACACTCTTTTGCCCAAGGATCACCTTCTTGCATGCGAGAAACAGCTCTCAAACCCCGATAAAGATCTGGATGATCCCAATCGGATCTCCTCCCAGGGTAGATATTCTGACGGTCCTTGGCCTTGTTGTCACTGTAGTGCCTGGTCATGTCGGCGAGTTGAAGAAGATCACCTCGGCCCAGTCACGAGATCGCAGTCTCTCAGGTGAGAGTCATGAGCCAAAGAACTCTCCGTGCTTGCACGTTTTCCCGATCGCGAGGCTGCAAGCAAATCTCACAAAGAGGGCTGCTGCGCCGTTTCCGGTTGGTCCAAAGGGTGTGCTGATATTCCAAGCTTCTCTAGATTCACCTGAATTGGAGTATTATACTTCCCAAGACAAACTTTTCCGTATAAGCTTGTACAAGATATCTTAGCAGCCATAGACGCGCAGAACTGCTCACAACAAGGCACGGAGGGTGAGCTCATTGCCCGGCGTCAGCTTGTTGCGGTCGGCGAACAGTTTCTGCAAGTCCTTGGCTTCGAGCGTTTGTTGAGGCGCGACTTCTCGGCCAGCTGCTCGGAAGGATTTCACTTGCCCAGCCTGCGAACAGCGACTCTTCGGAAGACACTCGCATTACAACAAAAGACACACCTGATAAGAGTCAGCAATATGAACAGGACAGGTATCTATACATGTATGCCCTGGCCAAATGCAACATTGCTGTAGTGGAGTTTTGAAAGTGTTGTTTGAAAGGCGCCTTCGAAGAAGGAGCTCCTTTGGGAAGATTTGGCTCAAGCTTCTCTAATTAGGTACATTTATGGGGCACCGTCACCACCAAAGTAACTACCCTGGCATGAATACCAGCAATGAGCATGCAGCATACATTCAGGCATGTAAAAGCATTGCCACGCCTCCGCTAGTTTTCTGAAAGCGACGTCCCACCAGAACCATCCAGTGAACTCCACGTGCCAGAAGAAACGAGATGGCCCGGAACGGGATGCGTTGAACATGTCTGGCTTGTGGTCTTTCAGTTCGAGTGGCACGTCGGTGTCAGGAAATGGATCTGAATCTGAATTTTCTGCAGCGAAGATCAGAAAGCCTGATATTTGGACAGGTCTTGAACTCCCATAGTAGTTTTTTTTGCATTGTTTACTTTATCTAACTACTTATGTAAATATATATATTATATATATTCTATACCTAATTAGAGAGAGAGAGAGAGTAATTATATATGTTAGTATAAAGAATGGACAAGTTTCCGGGCTACACAGCAACATCGCCAACAAGATGGGCCAGGATAGCTCCAAACAAATCAGAAAGGCATGGTTTCCCTCAACAGTGACTTGGATCCTCTACCTCACGTCCCAGCGGCTTGGTGGCATCTTCACGTTCGCCAAGTGGTCCACCCGCTCCCGAAAGGCCTTCTTCACCGTGTGGCAATCATGCAAGCTCTTCAATCCACGATCCACGAAGATGATGCAAGAAGCCATGGATCCTCAGGGATCCAAAGACGATATCAGAAAGACCAACGTCCTTTGCCCAAGATGAGTTGCGAAGCTGATTGGAACACATTCCGCTTGCTGATTGGAAGTGTCTTCCGATTCTGGAGATGATGATTCGTTTCTGGTGTTTCCTGCCTAAGACTTGTGCAGTGTTGATGAGGTGATCTGCACGATGTAAAAGTGAGGATCCGGTGAAACTGGTGTTGTCGCTCTCCACCTTGACAATCATCATCACTTCCCTTTCCTGCTTTGGACGATGCTTGAGAATCTGCACCATTGCGCAGCTTTTATGTTGCTCGCCGCTCTCATCCTCCTTGCCCTTGTCAGCCTCGACGTTTTTCAGGGGAAGCTTCAATGCCAACCAATCCTTGGGAAGCTGAGACGATCTGGGGTTGCAACAGGCTCTAAAAACTGCAACCTCACCGTTCCCTACACTTCCACATATGCGGCGTCGAACAAGTCCAAACCTCTGCCGTGATCGTCGTGTTTTGCAAATTGTCTAACAAAGGAGTTTACAAAAAAGAAATGCCCTAAAGAAATACATCATCGACATACCAATAATCCATGTTCGATTCAGACCCCCACGTCTTTTGGAACAGCGGTGGACTTTTTGCAGAATGCGTTCGCGTTCTTTGGAAGGTTCGACCTCTGGTGTGCACATACCCTGCTGTGCACCGCTGACATTAAGACGCCCTCACGGGAGAAAAAGGCACCTCTTGCACCCTTGCTGCCTTGCAGCCTGATACCTTGGTCACCTGGGTGAAAAGTCGAGCTGCTTTCTGCTCGCTGTCTTGATGGGGAGTTGCCGAGGCCGGCAGGATCGTGTTCCACCCGACGATCAGCCAAGTTTGGGGGGTATGTTCTCCAGCCAAAAGCGTGCTGGGACTGATTTCCATGCTTGAAAGGCACGGTTTCGTTGCTGTATACCAGCGTCAATGCATGCAGTTTCAAGACGCATGACAAAATGATCAGCCCAAGATTGGGACAAAAACGAAATGCATTCGCTTTGCAATGTGATACATTTATTGCAGACACAAAGCCGCAAGGTGTCCTTTCAACTGCGATGCGTAGCAACGAGTTATGGCTTAGGCCTTAAGGTGAAAAACGGCAGCGGTTGGAGACACTCTGACATCACCCTTGGAGCAAGCACGATTCTTCAGTACATCCCTTCTCTTGTTGCGAAAGAGGTGGTGTCAGGGGGCTTTCAACTCCGGGCTTTATGAAGAATGTCACCAACACACTTGCGATGTCGCCGATCAGTGACGGCTTTCCATCTCTTTGTCGCTCCTCCAAGATTCTCCATTCCCCTTGCATGTCTGAATCGAAGCGAGCATAAGTGCTTCGGAGCTGAAAGATCTTGGGATCGAATCTCGGAGAGGCTTGTCGGAATGACCTTGCATTCCTACACACGTGAATCCCTATGGACTCCTTCTGGCGCCATCCTGGCTGCTCAGCCAGAACCATCAGGTGGTTGGCGATTGGATCGCCAGGGCTCAACGGTCGTCCAGGCAAGGCGACACTGGGGCGAGACACCGAAACCACCTTCTTCTTGGCGCTCTGTTTCACAAACTCTGGCTGGAACGTGTAGCTCCAGACGCTTTTGTTAATCACTGACCTGAAATGATCAACGGCCATGTCCTTCGTGCCACAGTCTATGATCATATTTTCAGTAGCCGTCCAGTGAATGGCTGTTCCAGGTTTGCGAAGCGTTTCTCGGAGCCAACTGACCGTAAAGGCCAGGGATTTCTGGGATCCATACGTGGGTGTATCACTTGAGCTCTTGTCAAAAACATCCTTGGCATCAGTGACTAGTGCCAAAGGAATCTCAGCATTGTATGCCTCATCTCGCTGAAGCACATTGTAGCCTTTGACTTCGGCTAGCAACCCACGGCTGTAGAGCCCAACATCCATCGACTCTTCGGCGCCCAAAAGCTCGGCACCATACGTGCTGCGACACACGCGGGTGAGCCTGTGGCTCCTCGCGTCCAAGACGCAAAAGCGTCCCTCCCTGCCAGCGAGAAGCTCCTTGTCAGCAACGAGGACCACATAGGCTGCTTGGCTGAACACTTTGGTCTGAACAGTGCCTTCACTGCCACCTGTTCTTGTGACATTGCCGAGTGAGGCGTCAGTCACCACCAAGATGCCTGCACCTTCAAGGTCCATCTTGGAGAACCTCAGCTTGAACCCCGAGTCCTTCTTGACGAGGCGGACAAGGGCGTTAGCTTTGAGCAGTGTGCGAACCACATGCGGTTCACCCTGGAGCACTGAAAGGTGGTAGCTCATGTCGAACCTCACCTGCGTGACCAGCCACTGAAGGCTTCCCAACACAGCTCGTAGTTGTCGAAGCTCTGTGGGGGTCAGTGGACTGTCCAGATTCTTCTTGCGGATCACAGGCACTGTAACAGCTTGAATGTTCTCATGGTAAGCTTGCATGCTCACCTCAATGGAACCATCATCCAACTGCTTCACCTGTTTGCCACAATAGTTGAAGCATCCAGTGTCAAGAGAGCCGAAACCCAACTCCTGTCCCAGTGCGTCCAATGTCTGCTTTGCCACGCTCGTTCCAGCAAATAACAGGTCATCAACGTGGGATACCATCATCCCTTGCAGCGAGCCGGCCTTATCATAAAAGAACCATTGCGCAGCATCAACGTTGCTTCTGACCCATCCAAGCCGCGTCACAGACTTGTGGAGCCTCAAATACCACCGACGTGGTGAATCGGCCAAACCGAAAACTCCTTTCCGCACTTTTGCAAGAGCATTGCGCCCAAAAGGAAGGATGGGCTCATCATCAGAAGTGGTTCTGATGTTGGTGATGTAAAGCTCTCTTTCACCTTCTTCAAACAACTCACCCTTCAAGAATGCAGATTTAATGTCTGCTGACCACATCTTCCAACCATAGCTGGCGGCAGTGATGAAGAGCACATGCTGCGAGCTTCGGGCACATGTAGGTGCGTCCTTCCGGACGGAGTATGCAGTCTCATCTTGATACCCCGGAATCACCAACCGAGCGTTAGCCAGCAAGGGCAAGGGTCGTGACTCAGAGCGCTGTCCATCGTTCTTGTCGGTGTAGATGAACCTGGGATGTAAAATCTTGTTCAACTGTCCAGCATCACGAAGACGGTTCCTGACACGCATGGACTCTTCCTCAGAAAGGGGCTCAAAGGCTAAGTTGTCTGTCTGAACTTTCCAGCCCACCTCGGCTGCCTTCTTGTACTCCGGCTTCTCATGGTCCGGAATGCTCTTCCACTTGACCTCTCTGCGAGCTGTCTTGGCGGCATTGACTTCATGTTCGCCAACGGGCCATAGGCAGCAACAAAGTTCATGAGCTTGCCAACTAGTTCTGGAGGGCAAAGGCCAACGACCCGACCAACTTCCGTGATCTTGTACTTCACTATTGGCTGGATCCAGCTTGTCTTTTTCCGCTTGTTCTTGGATGAGCCGGAGTGGATGTTTCTCAGACTTCAAAAAGGTCTCTTCGAACGAGGGCTCATTCCCAATCACTGAGGCATTTGTTGGGGCGATGTCATTGGCATGCTCCTTGGCATACTTGTTCATGAGGGACTTCTTTGTCTTGAAGATCTCTTGAACCATCGCTGTGGTCATGAGGACGGAATGCCCTTCAGCTGATGAAACTTGTTCACTCTCTCGGAGCGCTTCAGCCTCAATTTCGGCAGCTCTCTTTCGAGAAGTTTGTTCCTCCTCCAACTCCCTTGCCGTCTCCATGGATGCTTCCAACCTTGAACTCACAGGAGGTGTGCCAGGTGCCTGACTTGCCTCACGAATCAAAGCAGGAACTGGAGTGCCAGGCGCTGCACTGCCTGACGCTTTTGAAGCCTGTCGGGATGACGACATGGTTGATGCCCTTCTGCTCAAACTTCCGCTCCCTGGCAGCTCTGGTAGGCTGTCAAGAGCTTGAAGAAACTCTTCCGGTCTTACCGGCGGTAAGGCTTCCACCGGCTCTTCGGGCACTGGAGGTAGTGAACTTGTAGTTCTCAATCTCGACGGTGTTGGTGGCACCATCGAAGGGGTCAATGAAGAAGCCATATCCGCACCTGAGATATCCTCAGTTGCCGGTCTCCTGACATCATGCAACGCGGCCTCCACACACTCTTGGATAGCATCATGCCAGGTCTCAGCGCTGATTTGCTCCATGCTTGAAGCAAGGCGAAGGTGTTCGCGAGCACACTTGGACATCTGTCCTTTGAAAGAAACATAGCCTGCACTGTGTCCCTCCAAGGCCAACAGAAGGGCTGGACCATGCCAGCGCCGCAAGGATAGTCGCTTCTTCGACGGACTTGTCTTTGAGTTGTACTTGCTCTCACGCCAGAAGTAAACTATGTCACCTGGCTGCAGCGGAGTTGACATGGTAGAGGTTCGACAACGACTCAACTCTGCTCTCCTGATGCCTCGGGAGAAGTGAAGACGAACCATGGCCAATTTGGCCGTCTCCCTCATTGCGACCTGTCGTGCCAGGCTAGGGTTGCCATCAACTAGACCATGTTCGGCAAGCCTTTGGCTGAAGTTACCAAGCACGTCGCCCATCATACGGGGCTGTCTTCCGATGGCAGCTTGACATGGTGACACTCCCGCCTCATTGATGTCACTGTTGTACGCCAGGACACACTCTTGGAGGGCGGTGTTCATTTCTCCCAAGCCTTGCACTGAATGGCTCTTCACACAACACTCCAGCAGGCCTTTTAAGATTCCACCTCCTCTTTCACAGACGCCATTGGCCCATGGGGCCTGAACGGGCACGTGGTGAAGTAAGATGGAGTGCTCATCACACATCTGCTGAAATGCCCACGACACGAATTCACGGCCCTGATCCGCGACCAGGACTCTTGGTGGACCGAAGATCGGCAGCCAACGCTGCTTGAACCAACTGCAAATGCTTTCGGAGTCTTTGGTCTCCAAGGCTTCTGCCATTTGAAATCTTGAGGTCCAGTCTATCACGTGAACCACGTAGTACTTTGTCTCTCTGATGTCTGTGGCCTCAAAGATGTCAATGTGAATCTGGTCGGAGACATCCTTGGGAGTGGGAAGACTACTAGGTCGTCGAGGCTTCGGTCGTTTCTTCTCATCGCACAGGCTACATTTGATCTCCTTCGCAGCTCTCACAACATCAGCAGGTGCCCCTGACAAGACCAATGCTCTTGCCAGTCTTCTGTTTGACCGGTGGCCGGTGTTCTCATGCAATCGCTTCACGGCCAATCGGGTGGCCGCTGAAATCTTGGACTCTGGCTCCATGTCCTCTCACATGGACGAGATGTCGGACTCTGAAGCAAAGGGGTCCATGGTATCTCCTTGTTCTTTCGTCTCTTCCACTTCTTCGCCATCTACCGCCATGACTTCACGGCAGGCGGCATAGTCAGCGTGAAACTGGCGTTCAAGGCCTTTGACAAAAGCCCTCGCCAACGAGACGGGATAGTGGCCTGCCCTGGAGGTGATCTTCTTTCCACCCAAAACAGGCTGGTGTGCATGATCTTTTGAACACTGTTTTCCTCTCAACTCATCAGCCACTGCAGAAGAGCTTGTCGCTATCCTGGTGGGCTTCTTATGAAGGTGGCCCTCAACGCTCCTCAAGAAAAAGGCACATTGATCGATGTCAACACACTCGACTGGCGCCGACTCCAAAAACTGCATCATCTCTGGGAGCAACCAGGCTTCTGAGCCTCTTGGGTTTTCCATAATGAAATGACTGTTTCTCTTGAGCTGAAGGCGTGCCAAAAGGATTGCAAAATTCATCAACACTTTGCCTTGTTCTCTTCGCTCTTTCAAAGAAGCACTGGGGCGCAAACGATTGAGTGGAGAAAAAGGGCCACACGGAAAGGCTAAAATCAAACAAAACGGATCTTCTTCGAGCACCTTCTTGATGCATGCTTTTCGGTGAGCTGCATCTAGGAAATTCCATCCTGATTCAAGGGACATGGACGTGGCTGTACTATGGCCTCGGAGCGAAGCCTGCTTGGCGACTTGTTCCGTTGCGGTGTATACTTCGCCCACCAAGAGCCGCTTCATCTCATCTTTCTTCTTCTTTCGGGATGGAACAGGCCGCTGGGCTTGAGCCACCGCACCAGCTGTTGGGCGCACTGTTCCTCCCTCAGGCGGTACAATGTCAATCTTCATGATGAAGCGCTCTTTGAAACAACCAGCCATCTGCTTGTCCCAATCTTCCTGCATGGCCTCCAAGACTTCCTTCCGGGACCTGGAGGTCAGTGTTCGATCCCTGCAATGCTTCTCCCATGCCTGGCTGATCAGCTGGGCCTGACCAGGTTTCAACTCCTGGTGCACATGCCAGGGGTTGGTCAGTTGTAGAATGGACCCTTGAGCAGGTCCTCTTCGTCCCCCTTTCTCAACGCCAGCTCCTGAAAGTTGAAATCGCTCAACTCCTGACTGGTCATCTGGGAGAAGTCCTGCAGCTGATCGTCCACCTCTGCTTGAGTCCAGCCATGGTTCCCCACGGAGAAACTGCTCTGGCTGTTTGAGCCCTGCTCCATTGGCACGTCCATAGATGTCAGGTCGAACTGCATGGGACCTGCCGTCAACAACGGCTGCTGTTGCATGGACATCATGTGTTGCATAACCTGGCTCAACATGGCCTGGTACTTTTGGTCCTGCTGTGCTAGCAGCTCGTGAATGTCTTGGAGTTTCACTCCTGGCATCGTGCTTGGAGCACTGGTGGACGGTGTTTCGGGCGCTGCCAATGGAGGTGTCTATCAAAGCTCTCACGGCCTCGAACTGCTTTCCTTCCTTCTTTGCCTTCTCTGCTGAGGCTTTCGCTTCGGCCATTGCTTCCTGCCGAATGCGACTTGCCAAACCCTTGCCACTTCGAGCTGCCATCATGCCTTGCAGCATTGGATCTTCGACAAACGATGTCTTCCAACCAAGCCTGTCGCGAAGCCACATGCTTTCCTTCAGGTTGGCAACGGAGAAACCATCTGAATCCAAAGCCCTCTGGTGGTGCTTCTTTGACATCGAGCCATTTCCGACCATTTGCTGAGCTTGCAACTTCCACTGGTGCACTGAGCTGATTGATGGGTAGGGAAATGGAAGATAGCGCAAGGATGGCCGTCGACAAAGCCACAAGGCAACGCCTTGCACATGCCAAAGGATTCGAGCTTGAAGGCGGACCACGAGACGGTTCCACCTTGTCAACGTGCTTGTTGTGCTTTCCATAGCTCTTCCTGGGAGTAGGGCCTCGACCAGGTGATGTCGTAGGGGATGTCGTCGGATCGGGGGATGAACCTTGAAAGGTGCTCATCTTTTGAGCCAAGTCGTCCAACGAAGTCGAACTCTGGGTTGGCAGGCCGATCAACGAAACATCTGCAGCATGTAGACTGTGTTCTGAAAGCAAATGCTCATGACTATGCTTCGAACGAAGTGAAAACTGACTCAAAGCGTCAAGTTTGCGTTTCATCCATTCTTGGTGACTGAGCTGCAATGCAACAACACCATCCAATCCCACTCGACGCCATCGAAGCGCACCTGGGGATGGCCACGTAGATGGCACCAGCCGCAGTGCAAAATGTCCTGCAGTCAACTGATGAAGATGAATGAGACGTCCGCTAAGATGATCAGCTCGCAACATCTTCTTTGCAAAGCTCAAAACGCAACCAATGCTGTCTAACCAATCCCTTCCAAGCAAAAGGCCCAAACTTGCAACAGGAACAACCGAAACCCAAGTGAGAATGAGATCTGTTCCAATGACCATGGGCAACCGAACTCTCACAGAACTGCGCTGAGTGCCACCATCTCCGAATCGGAACACCTCCTGCTCTGCTCGGTGCTCCACCAGCTCTTTGATGGCCTGAGGCGCAGACTGCAATGCTTGTAACTAATGCTCCAACCAAACTGTGCCACAACACGTGCGATTGCATGCGCTGTCGAGTGCGCCCATGAGCTTTTTGTCCAGCGACAATGAGTGCACCTGACTGGCACAAACCTCAAACGAATTGTTGAGAGCATCTGTCAATGTCGACGGATGGAACAGCCGCGAAGTTGTCATCACTTCGTGAACCTCCTCTGACTGCTCCGGCTGTGCTTCGACCTCTGTGGTCAATGCTTCTGCCATGCGAACTTGACGTTGTTGGGGCTTGCAATTGCCCTTTGGCTTGAACAAACCAGCACCTGGACTCGGGCATCCATGGTCACCAGCCCAATGGCCGGTCTGGCCACAATCCCAGCAACTTGAACGAGACTTCTTGCCGTTCACCTGATTGCCAGTCATCCGAGCTTTGGGTGCCGCGCTGCTTGAAGCCACTTTGCCATAGCCACGGTCCTTCTTGATCTCGGCTATCTTGCTTCTGGCTTCCCTCATGGTCACTAATGACTCGGCAGCTTGCTCAACTCCCGTTTCCAGGCTTTCGATCAAGTCTGGAGCCAAACCATCTTGCTCTAGCTCTTCAATCTCAGCAGCCAGCACTTCAGCCTCGCCTTGAAGCACCTGCTCCAGAGAAATGCCGGGGTCCCGGGCATCAGGAACTAACTCCTCTTCTTCATCATCACCTTCAGGTTCAACCTCTGGCGGGGCCTCAGCAACCAACGCACTCCTCGGTGGGGGTTTCGGGGTCGACTTGAAGCTCCTCTGGGACTGTGAACCACCTGAAAAAGATGACTTGTACGACCGTGTCCCAAAAGATGATGAACCTCCACTGCTAGGCAACGACGTCTTGTACGACGAACCGGATTGCGACTGGTTCAAAAATCGACCAAGAAGGGGTGACCTGTCATGAAGGCTCTGCTTCTTCTGCAAGGGGTCCTCACTGTGCAAATCTCTAAACAAACGCAATGCTTCTGACTCAACTTCCTCGTAGGCTTCCTTCCCACGAAGGGCTGTATCGAGCAGCTGGATGCGGATTGCATCGAGGCCCATGCGATTGCGCAGAAACCAACCCAACTCATCCGACGGGAGATTGATCCCTTCACGCTTCATCTCCGAGGTCAAAGTCCTGAACCTCGAACAATAGGCACTGATCCTCTCGCCAGGGGCACGTCTCATCTCCATGTAAAATTGCTTCCTCAACTCGCCTTTGCGATCCAGCAATGTACGACCCATGGATTCTTCCAACGCTTGCATCAGAATTCGAATCCCTCGCCAAGGATCTGCCTGCTCCATGATGACCTCCTCACCGGTCTCTGGGTCAATCCCCTTAACTTCAAGGCCACCTTCAAGTTCTTTTGGACTGAACTCTTCACAGCGGCGGGCTCTTACAACACCTGTCTGTCTAAGTGTCCAGCGGGCAGCAACGTTGTATTTCGAACAACTAGAGGCATCCATCGACGCCTGCCACCATTCCATCTCTCTCTTGAAGGCCCTGAAGGTGGATGGATTGCCATCCCACACTGGCACCTTGTACCAAGCAGAACTGCCTTTATCATCGCTCTCTGCCATGATCCTCCCACAGCACGGGAGGCGTGCAACAAAAGGTGAAAACTCTGTAGAAACAAGCCGGAAGGCGGGTGAAGCTCAATGCAATGCAAGCTTAGCTGAACACCACTGAACAACAGCCACCAATGAATTCCAATGTTCGAAGGTCGATGGGCTCGAGTGCAACTCTTCCAACAACACTCAACGAACAAAGCTCAACCAATGCAGGGAGTCAAAGGCAAAGACGCAATGCACAACGTACCAATGAAGCAACCAAAGGCAACAAGCGACAGCGGAGCGCGCCAAGACCCACGCAGGCTCCGGATACCACTGCAGACACAAAGCCGCAAGGTGTCCTTTCAACTGCGATGCGTAGCAACGAGTTATGGCTTAGGCCTTAAGGTGAAAAACGGCAGCGGTTGGAGACACTCTGACATCACCCTTGGAGCAAGCACGATTCTTCATTTATAAAGGCATTTCTTTACGCAAAGTACCTCTGAACCACTCCACTGCCAGACCCAACTCCGGACCACATCAGCACTCCAAGGCAGCTTCTGTTGATGCTCGCTTTGCTGAACACGTTCACTTTGACTTGTGTAGATTCTTAGCTTCATTATATACCATCCCTCGTGCTGCATGCGACCTTTGCGCGACATGAACCTCGTGGAAGCGAACTTCAATTATCCACCTTCTGTCGCGGCCAAGTCAACAACCCCAGCAACGTGAAATGGGAAAGGAAGTCCTAAATCCACCACCTCCACGCCAATATAGTCAAGGATCTTCCTTCTCAAGTTTCTCCAGCTCGTCAAAGGAAGTTCCAATCAAGATCTTGGCCTTCTCGAGCAACAGCTTTGAGCAAAGGAGCTGCCGGCATTTGGCTCCACCAGCGTCATATCGATGGTTCCAACTTGCTTCCCATCCTCGAACATGAAAGGCCGGTGAACATGGCGACCATTTATCCACTTATACCCAGCAGCAACTCAAGACAGTCTAAACCAAGGTTTGCACGCACCCGATCCTCAACGCTAGAAATCAATACCAAAACCTGGTGACCTCATCGGTTCTGAGCATCCTTCCAGCCAAGATCTGTCCATCTTCAACAGCTTCACACGGCCTTTGGCGGGCTTTCGCTGGCTCGTCGGGGGCAGCGTCCGGAGGGACAACCGTCGGGACACAATGGCCTCCATCTCCACATCAGTTGGAACTGTCCTGGGATGTGATCCAATCAATGGCCCAATGGCCCAATGGCCTAGCTAAGGAAAACATGCTGCCGCATCGAAAAAAAGAATGAGAAAAGCTTACCATCTCATCAAGTCAGCTTCAGTACGGTGCATACAAAATGCGAGAGCAATCCTTCTCCCAGCTCATGCCTGCCAACAGCTCTCAAAATGGCCGCAGAAAGGGGTGCAATGATTTCGGGAAACGGTTTATCATTTTGCGGGTGAAACATGCTGTGGCGAGACAATTTGGGAAAGACCACTGGTACTATGGGTAAATGGTGGACCGCTGCCGTACAAGTACCATGGTCAGACAGGAACCACACCACTGTGTACCACGGTGTACGTTCGTTGACATGCGCTTGCCGCATGGCAGAGGTGGTCTCCCGAAGGATGCTGAAGGCACTTAGAAACACCTGCACCGGCAAGGCTGCCGCGTCACTGTCATGTGCCCGCATGTCCCCGACGGCACGTCGCGTTGGCATGCGCTGGTCCCTGCGTGTGTGTGTGGTCCCTGCAGTTGACACGATCCGTCGAAAAGATACCTCAGCTGAATTGACTCCTGATGTTAGGCGCTCTGGCCCCTTCCACTGAGCTGGGCGCTCAACCCGAATCGAAGTGACCCGTCCATAACTTGCCAGACATGTTTTCACCGAAGCAAAGCAGCGTAATCTTACGCAAACAAAGCAACAATGTAAGCTCCACACGGGCAACATGAACAGAAGCTATTCTCACGGTTGTCAAGCAGATGTGCACGTTTCTTCAAGTTGTTGGACCTGACTCGTTTTGGGCATGCTTAACAGTACCAGTTTACCCTGCAATACGCCAATTCCGCCAGTCGCTGTCGAACCCATGTGAAGGGGCCGACGTGTGGTTCTAATGGGACATTGCTGGTGATCAGCGCCTCTCTTTCATGATAGAGTTTTGGTGTCATCGAATCATGGCTGGAGTGACAGTCATCACACTCACACCAAAGAAAGAAAAGAACGCAAAACCCTGACCCTCACAAAAACAAGCTCGCAGTGAGTTGGCCAAGCTCGTGCTGTATAGGCTGGAAATGAGTTACAACTATATAGTTACTATTAATTCTTCTGCAAAAAAGAAAACTTGCTCTGATCCTGCCAAAGACGTTTCTTGTTGCCGTTTCCAAGCTCACCGGCCTTGTTGCACGATACTGAGATGCTCTCGGTGGGTTTTGTGTCGCAAAAATACAGAACGCTGGATGTTTGGTCACCACCAAAGTTCCTTTGGGCGACAACGTCCGGAGCTTCTCAGTGGAAGAACATTGGGAAGAAGACCTTTTTGACTTCGACCTTAACAACAGCAGAAACACGTCCCTGTCCTCTGGCATTGATCTGATGCTTGAGCCTTGCGTCGGCGCTCACAAGATTCGCTGGGATTTCTAGCCTCAGGTGGCAAAAACCGCGATGTCATTTCTCGTACGATACAGAAACCCCTGCACTTCGCCGAGAGACTGGCCCGTGTTGAAGACTTCCTCCAGGACGCTTAGCACTGAGGGTGGCGCCAAGTTGGCCTCATCAAGAAGAAGCCAATAGCCTCTTGACATGGCTTGTGGGAGGACTCCTGGCTTGAACTGCATAGTTCCAGTACCTTGGAACGCTGAGCAGAATTCATTGCTTGCCTATGCTTTTCCCCGAATATCTCTTCTAGCCGGTGGCCGCCTGATTTCTCTTTCATGCTTGGGGCTGGTCACTATGCATAGGATTGCATAGGTGAAGGAAGTTCTTGCTCAACGATTGCCCAGGTCGTGCTTCGTCTGATGTGTTTGGCCAGGTCGTGTTCAGGAAAAGCAGCCAAGAGACCTTCCGAGAAGGAGACGCTTCCAATGATGTCATCAATCGAGGTGCTGGGAGAGACTGGAAACTTCAACAGCTCCTTTTGCATGATGTGTGCGGCATACTCCACAGCTACTGTCTTACCTGCGGATGCCTCTCCTTCAATCAGCAAGGGCATTCCCAATACGCTGCACTTCAGAATGGTGCCGAGGATGCTTTTCGAGGTTTCAGAGAGGTTGAACTCTTGGTGGCTCGCCACTGGTGTTCGAGGAATATCCCAAAATGGATCCGATGGTGCAGCACCGGCACCTCGAAATTGGACGAGCTTCCGACCAAACGTGGTCAATGAACCTACCAAATCTTGTAGTAGGGGTCTCACTTCGGTGCAGCAGCTGGGGGGATCGATCTTCAGTTTTGGCTTCTTGGGAGCAATAAACCTCAGGAGCTGCATCTTCAAATTTGGACATTTCCGCTCGTTGATGTCGTAGAGGCTGTTCAAGAAGTGTACCGCGTCAAAGCCTGTCTTTCCTCGGAATGACTAAAGGAAACACTCTGAAGGTTCAGTTTTATTCGGCCCAATCAATGCATTCAAACAAATATAGGAGGTTAGAAGGAAATCAATTCATCAACCACCAATCAAAAAGGCAGTCAATAACAATTGTAGTAATAGAATAGTAATAATAATAATAATAACCATTAACAACAATTACTACTATTTATATATATATATAGACAACTGGCGAATAAAAGCTTAGCTCTTTAAAGTGTTCCACTCGAGGATCCATTCGCCACCTTGACGATATCCCCTTGTCTCACTCGGTCGTCGGTCAACGCAGTCATGTTAAATTCGATGATTGTACCGCTCGAAGCGAAGCCCACCACCTCCAAACAAGTCTCCTCAGATTCATGCTTGGGTCAAAAATGCTCAAACCACCTGTGATCGGAGGAAAAAACAGCAGATGTAATGAGTCGTATGGAGAACGGATGCAGTCGAGAATTCATGTTGCGATCCGTGTTGTAAAGTGACTTGGAGACAACCTCCCCCAAAGGAAAAAACACCTATTTAACCAAAGGTAAGGGGTCGCCATCATGCTCAACCGCTTTGACCTGGAGCCCACTCATGTGTTGACCACTGCGTGGAATCGTGAGCCAGCGAAGCTCATCCAAGTTCTGCCCGCCATGTTGAGCAAGCACAGACCTTTGCAGACGAGATAAGCCTCGCGAGCCTTGAAAATCTGCACCATGGCACCGGAGCTTCGAATCTTCGCATGAATGGGATGAACTGTACCAAATCGGCTCGATCTTCACAGAAGACTGTTGCACTCTCCTTTCCGGAATGCTCATGCGTGGTATCACAAAAAGCAAATGGTGGGGTCGGAGGGCTGGCATATATTTATTTGATTCAGTTTGTATTATTGCTGGCTTTGACCAACGGCCGCCTGGAAAGAAACAAAATCCTCTTGCCTTACTTGAGCTTATCTGTAGGATCAAGGCCGGATGGGCGTCACATGTTTGGAAAAGGAACATGAGATTTTAACTCTGAGTTCTGTTGGAGGAAGCCATGGCCGAGCTATATTGTTGCGATTCAAAATTGGGTTGATTTCAGGGGTATGGCATTTGCACATGCTTTTGCAGTTGCAACCATCATCGTGCAAGCGATGTTGCAGATGCTACAAGTTTGATTTGTGCTTGTCACGTTTTCTCCATTCGCTCACCTCAGCTTGGGGCAGTTGGATCTTTACAAAACTGACCCAGCTCCATGCGTGCGCAAAGTCCGGCCGTCGCGAGGAAAGCCAACATGCGCTTTCAAGCGAACTCAGGGCCAACGGAGCGGGAAAGCAATGAGTTGTGCAACCAAAATCGCATGGGCGCGAGGTTTCTGCTCGAACCACCTGGACCTGCACCGGCACCATGTACCGGTACGGCACGAAATCGCGTGTTGTGTTCTCAAGTTGTAAGGCGGTTGCTTGATAAGCCTTAGTGACGAACAAACCCTCAGAAACACTCTCGTCTTTGAACCTCTTATAGGTTTCAATCCTCAGTGTTCAAGGTCTTCCTGTATTCCTTGAGAGAATCATTCAGGATATCCCCGTCTGATTTGCCGAAAACGAAGGGTGTCGCAGTGCTGGGCAGTACTGGGCCAGTTTGGTGGATGGCTTTCGAATAGTTTTGAATGCAGGCAGTTTAAAACGATGAGAATGGGTCATCAATCTCAGGTGGGGAAGAGCATACTTGAAGCTCCATCACAATGTTTCTGCCGTCCTGGGTTGCTCCAATTCCACCACTTTCCATGCAGCAATCGAGCCGTCGGCGGCAGCTGTGAAGAGTTCCTTCGCGTCGCAACGGGATTGGGTCCGCAGCAGCAAGCAACTGATCCTCAGCTTTGTCATTCTTTGATTGATCTGATTGAGTTTCCCCAGCAATCACCTTGTCTGTCGGCCTAGTTCTTGACTTCAAACTTTCAACTGACTGATTAATGCCCCCTGGCAGGACAAATAGGAATTACACCACCGTAGACCCCAAACAGTTTGTGTTTTTCAAAATCGAAACTAGAGCTTGCGACGTCCAGAGCTGGGAGACAAATGTAAAGGATTGCAAGGCAGAGACGGACACAGCAGTACAGAGCGGGCGGACACATCTTAAAAAAGAAGTGAGAAGCCCTAACAGTAAACCTTTTGGGGAATTATTCTTCAAGCGCGAACATGACGCTGGTCATGCTGCTCAGTCAGCAGGGAGCTGACCACGTGAAGACAAGAAACAAAAGCATGAGGAGCGAAGGATGTGACATGAAATTGATTTTTGGCGCCTAACGTACGCCCTCCGCCCCAACTGAACAGAGAGATCGCTGCCACGCGGCCGAAATCCAATCCGGTCATTCATCCAACGGTTGCCCGAAAAGGAAAACAAAGCTGAGAGAGTTACACAGTGTGGCAGGAATGCAATCCCGGGACAGTCACGCACCCCTTGCAAAGGAGCAAGAACCTTTCACAGGCGAACCTGTTCCAGCGGACAGGGCAGAAAACAGCAGTGCAGGCACCAAACCTGAAAGACAAAAAGAAAGAAATCACATGGGAGACAAATGAATAGAAATGCTATATGGCCAGCGGAAAAGGGCGGCAGCACCAGTGAAAGACCCGGGAAACAAATGAATAGAAATGCTGCATGCCCAGCGGAAAAGGGCGGACACCAGCAGTGA